GCTCAGCATCAGGTTTAGGATTCCGAGCATTGTGACTGAATTAATGCATTGCTCTAAACTATGATTTGTTTCAATGATTTATTAAACAAGGCCTGCTGGTCTGAACCATATATTCTGGAAGCAGAAGCCAGGTGACATTATATGATTTAGAATGTGAATGTACTTAATGTATAACATCTGTGGGGGAAAAGCAGCTCATGATTTATTTTTGAAAATAGGATTTGCAGTTTAGTGATCCAAAGCACATTAGGAGTGGACATAATTTTTATGATTTTATTAACTGAAGGCTTGAATGCAAATAAATAATGGTTACCTGAATTGTAATACGGATGTCACTTTGAGGATTTGAACCCTGTAGAAGAAAGCGATAATTTTACATAACATTAGTTGTAGAACTGCACCTATTTTATAGAGTTTAATAAATTTTTCCTAGCCTTCAATTTCTGTAACTACCAGTTGGGATACCTAAGGGTAATAGGATTCTGGGGCACTGACAAACCTCTGAATTCTTTACTCTTTATCCACAAAATTTGTCATTGCTAAACGTGAACAAATAAGTACATTTTCCTAAATGCAGATATTAATTTTAGAACAATGTTTCCATTCTCACACATCCAGAAGATGAGTAGTAATTTTTAACTCTAACATGCCCAAATCAATCAAACACATCTACTAAATAGAGTGTTAGATATCACTAAAAAAAAGGGTTAAATTTCATAAAAACTTCAAAGAGTGATTTAGAACTGAAGTTTTTAGCTCATGCAGAACATATATAACAGCAGCCTCAAAGAAAATCATTCTGGATAAAGCTCAGAGAAAACTTACATGGCATAAACAATTCATACAGTAACCATTTCTCCACTCAAAAAGGAAGAACAATTTCCTTTATCGGTTGAAAATACCATTTATATTGTCATACGCTGAAATAATCTGTGAGGCAAAAACTATTCATTGCGTACCATTTTAGGATGATGCATCAAAGAGGCTTTATTTTCAGTCATTTAACCATAAATAATTAATTACAGATACAAAAAATGAAAACAGCCTTCCTTTTATCTGAGGTCTTGTGAATGAGATGAGTGGGAATGGCAAAGCCTAATTAGGTTTCTCAGCAGATGGCACTATTTCTAGGAGAATGAAACAATTCCCTCTTTTTTTCTGTTGTCTCCCACACCCCTTCAAAATCTCTTCCTATAAGATCTCCCAGGCTCTGTTGCAGATTCTGAAAAGTTAACAGGAAGTCACAAGGATGAGGGCGAAGAAAAGAAGTCCCCACACTCAGATTTCATTCAAAATTATGTACTAGTACATTGTTTCCATACTGAAATTTCTAATTTAATGTACAGTGCTTCCTCTCCTTCAAAAACATACAAAACAAAAAACACAGAACTGCTGCCAATGGAAATTTGCATGATTATCAGCTGGCTACATCCGCAAGTAAGGTTGTAGTCCAGATAGATTACTCCATGCTCCTATAGTAGCATCATCTCAACTCAATGTAGTAATTTGCCATGAGATTAAAGAATGGAATTTAGCTATCCATTTTTTATCTGTAATTCATGATTAATGTATGGTTAAATAACTGAAAAATTTGAAAGGAATAAATGAGACAAGAAATAATACCTGGCTCTGGATCTTTTCACCGTATTTAGTGCTCTGCAAAAGGATGGATATCAACATTAATTATGGTATTTTCTTGCAGATTAATCCCTGTGTTGTGGAAATATATACTAAATGCATTTTAGATTAGAATTTTACCCTAATTATTTTGAGTCTACAATAATTTCTCTTCTACAAATGAGTACTCTTTTCATCCTTGGAGATAGATAAATAGATGATAGGTAGGTAGTAGGTAGGTAGTTAGATGTGTGTGTGTATTTGTGTGTGTGTCTATGTCTGTATATATGTGTATATACATGTACATGTACATACCGTGTTTCTCATATAATAAGGCCAGGTCTTTTTTTTTTTTTGAGCCCCGAAAAAATGGCTAGGTCGTCTTTTCGGGGGTGACTTAATTCCCCCCCCCTTGCATCTTCGGGCGGGCGGGCGGGCGGCGACAGCTTGGATGTTGACCTCGGCGTTGGTGGGGCACTTCGTATCGGGGTCAATGCAGGCAGCACCATATCCGGGTGTGCAACAAAAGTACTTCCTAATGGCAAGCCCCCCCACCATTCCCCCCCATTTCACATGTTTTAATATAGGCCTTAATTTGGGGGGAGGGGCTTAATTTCATTTCATGCCTATAAAACATGCTGGGACTTCCTATTGGGGGAGGCCGTATTGTTGGAGAAACAGGGTATACATACACAGACACACACATATACATACAAAATATTTCCATAGCTGTCCGCCTTATATATCTATAATCTCAGATGGTTTACAAACAAGAATAAAAAGAGTTAAAAGAATAAAAACTAATAGAAAAGGTTCTGGCAACATCTCCACAAACAACCTAACTGGGCTCCAGTCTTAATGTATCCCAGGTCTTCAAGGCTTTTCAAAAGGCTAAGAGAAGAGAGGCCTCCCAGCTCTCAAGGGGTTGCATGTTCTAAGGATAGGAGTTAATACCATGAAGGTGCCCCTCCCATATTATCTCCACTTTCCTCCTGAATATTTCATTAGTACACTGAATTTGGTGTAATATGCCAATTTGGTGTACTGGTTAAGGCACCAGGCTAGAAACTGGGAGAGTGTGAGTTCTAGACCCACCTTAGACCTGAAGCACATTGGGTGACTTTGGGTCAATTACTTTTTTCAGCCCTGGGAAGCTGGCAATGGCAAATCTTGCAAATCTGAAATCTTGCTAAGAAAACTACAAGGATTTGTCCAGGTGAAGAACCATTTTGGTCTAGTGGTTAAAGCATAACCAGGAGACCAAAAGGTCTAGTTTCAATTCTGCCTTAGGCATGAAAGCTGGCTGGATAACTTTGGGCCAACCATTCTCTCTCAGCCTACAATGTTTGACTCAGGCAGCAAGACTGTCAGTCAATTCCTGTTGCAGCCAATGGATCAACATTCTTGCACAAAACACGAGGGGAAAAAATAAGCAAGTGCTCTGAGCAAGTGTTTATAAGCTAATCATTCAAAATATGAAATTTATTCCTCTTTTTCAAATCTGCCAGTGGGCTTTCTGCATCAATAACTGACATTATGTTTTAAATAAAGCAAAGGAAAACATATTTACCTGAATATGCTTGTAGTGGGAGTTGGCAAGTTGCTATAAGAATTCAGAAAAAAAAGCATTTGAATTCTCTACATCACTCTAATAAACGTATCTGTGTATATTGGCAGCATGGAAGGTTATCAAAGAGTTAGTAGTGTGGCGTGGACCCTTCCCCCCCCTTTCCAGGTATTTGTACAGAAAAGTTTATTTAGCCAGCTGCAGCAATTTATATATTGCAAATTTGTCCACACATTTGCTTAGAAGAAATTGCTTTTGAATGGATTGCATCATCGTTATTGTTAATTACGCTCATCTTGCTCCTTATTTAGTGTTCTTAGTGTAATTTGTTAACCATTAAGATAAAAAAGATGATTCACCATTCCACTAATCTAGCACTTTTGAAGGGAGGGGAAACAACACCTGCCTAAAAGCAATGTTTTCATAAACAAGGGGACACTTCCAAAGATATTGATGAAATATGTCATCAGACCATCCCTGGGCACTGTGTACTATAGACTCTCTACCTTCTTTAAAAATATTCTTGGCAAAGGATGCACCATCTAAAGTTATGATCTTATAAGCTGTGCTATCAAGTCATTCCCAGGTGTCTTGTTTATACTTGCTGTCTCTTAAGTCTCTTAAGTAAAATATAAAACATTTTTGTACTTTTCTTCCCCATATAGTTTGAACCTTGGTGTAGATCCAAAATCTCAAAAGTTTGCTGTATAACTAAAAGGATTTGGATTGGTATATTTTTCCCTGTTAACTCTCTCAATATTTATTTAATAAACTCCTCTTTGGCATTTTACTCTGGATCAAGTCTATTGCTTTTGAACTGTAACAAACCTGCTGATTCTCATCTGGCCACCAGGTGCCAACACACAATGTAAGAAAGTAATTCTGGAAGAATATTTTTATAGCAATTAGATGATAACTTTGGAATGAATGAAAGAAAATGGAACGTCTTTTCTTTAAAATGCAGCAATTAAATTGTATTTTGCTTGCTAGCTTCTTGCATGTAGACAATGCAATGACTTTGTGTTTTATATTCATGTAGCATGAATCAACTGTATAAATTCATTCTCATTTACAGGAAAATGCATTCTCTGCAGGAGGTTGTGAACCAGTTTCTAGCAAAGTTTGAATAACAAACTGTTTTTTTCAATTCTTGGTTCAGTCTGGAAATAGTGCGTATGAAAATTTGACATACAAGTGCCATAAAAATGTAAATGTATGTAAAGAATGTAGAGGAAAAAAAGTATGTTACCATTTTAGAAGTCCCCAAGCAGGCAGATCATTTGCACAAATAAATTTGCAGGTGCAGAAAATTGAATGCAGGAATTTAAAAAAATTAATTATTATTTCCAGAAGAAACTTTTATGGTGCATTCACTTTGCCTTGTTTAATGTATTTATTGTAAAGGAAAGTGTGAGTGTCAAGATGGCATAATTTCCCATTCATAACCTTCACATGGTTCCTTACTATTTCGTCTCCTTTCTTTTTTCTTTACCGCAGAAAAATTGCAGAAGAAAAGATGGAAAGACTATCCAAAATCTTTTAAATGGATTAGAAACAGAGGTGGAATTCAGCAGGTTCTAACCAGTTCTGGAGAACAGATAGCAGACATTTTGAGTAGTTCGGAGAACCGGCAAATACCACCTTTGACTGGAGATTTTACAGTATCCTTCTCCTGCCACGCCCACCAAGCCATGCCACCAAGCTACACCACGCCCACCAAGCCACGCCCACAGAACCAGTAGTAAAAAAATTTGAATCCCACCACTAATTAGAAAGAAATTGACTTGAGTCCCATTGGGGAAACAAGCATTCTTACCGATGTATATGTTTCACGCTGTGAAGAAAGAAAGGATAAAAAAAATAAGGAAAAACAATAGTTACAAGAAAATCCTCTCTATTTGACTAGTCAGCAAAAAGTGCTTCGCATGATCAATGGGTTGCAATTAGACATTCACTTTGCATTCTTTTACAGTAATAAAATTAAAGAATTAAATAAGTAGGGCTTACTTCAGGTGGGAAAGACTTCGTAGGAGGATATACTATGACCTGTCAAAAATCATCACAGAGAAAAGTTAGATTTTGTTTAATTGAAAGAGCCGGAGTCCTTTAGAATTTATTTGCTCTCTATTATAAATTTGTTGTAAAATTTGAATGAATGGGAAAAAATCATTTGGAAATTGAATTGTAAAAGCTTTTAATTTTTTACACCAGGAAAAAAAAAACTATGAAATGGGAGAATGATTCAAAACTATTCTTCCCAAATAACTGATATCTGGAAAATAAGAAGGAAAACCGTATAATCATTTCTCTTTTTCTGCCCAATTGAACAGACTATTGTTAAGCATCATTTTACACAGAATTGGTGGCAGGCTGCCTCATGAAAATCAGTGGGTGCCTAGTCACTGATTTAAATGAGAAAGTAGAATTGTAACTACAGTTATAGCTATGCATATCAGGTAGTAGTGTCAATACTGCCTGAACAAATATCAAATGTGCATCTGTATCCACATTAGCTACCTGTTCAGGAACTGAACAGGGCAGGGAAGGCTAATCTGCATCTAGACCATGACAATAAAAATGCACAGAATTAAGTATAATAGATTCAGTTTAGTGGCTTAGGAAAACAGGCTTATAACATAGCCTTTTGCTTGATTATCCCAGGTGGTGAGTTCTTCACAATATTGTAATTGTGTAGCGTTGCCCCATGGGTGGAAGAGTTACTGCTTTATCATAGGCAACCAAATATCTTAGCCCTTCTTTTCATGAGCCTAATGTTAGTCAATCTACTTCTAATTTTAGTTTTAAGTAGAGAGGCAGGATAATGACTTAGATTGAAAAGCAGAAGAGAAGTTTGTTGCAAGGAATGGTTGCACTTTTAAAATAAGGTCCTACATAAGGATATTTCAGAGATTTAGTTGAGGGGGGGAAAAACGTACCTTCCCTTTATCTGAAATAGTTGAAACAGACTGCAAGAAAAACAAAAAGCATGTGTTATATTTTGTTGATTGTAACATCACCCGAGGGAATAACAGAGCAGTCTATGCTACCCCTTGGACAAAAGTTCCATACAGAGGGGTTTTCAGGAGCAAGGGACATCACAAAGTCAAGATGTTGGTCAAACTTGTGTAGTCAATGCCCCTCCTCTTGATAACTCTCTCCCTGTGAAACCCCTGGTTCCATACAGGAAAGAATGAGAAAGAATCTCAATATAGCCCTGCCTTGATCCTAATTTACTGTAACAGGGAGGGAATGAGGGAGGGAAACTAAGTCAGCATTTCCATATTCTGTTATTGCAATATAGCCTATATCCAGGGGTGGGCTGCTGGGGGTTCGGGAGACCCCCTAGCTAAGATTCTGTGTAGTTCAGAGAGCCCCCAAATCCCACTCCTGGCTGGCCTTACCCACCCCTCTCCTCTCCTCCCAGGAGTCCCCACGCGACCCGTTTTGAATGCAGGTAAGGGCAGGGAGTGCACGGAGGCTCAGGGAGGGTAAAAAAATGGGCCTCCTGGAAGTTCGGGAAGGCTGGAAATGGGCCCATTTCTGGCTTCCAGAGAGCCTCTGGAGTCCAGGGAGGCCGTTTTCGCCCTCCCGGAAGTTCAAGGAAAGCCTCTGGAGCCGAGGGAGGGCAAAAACATCCCCCCCCCATGGTGCAGGAGGTCATCTAGGTCATGCCCACCGTGGCCATGCTCACCCAGCAACCAGGCACCAACCCTTTGCTAACATTTTTGAAGCCCACCTCTGCCTATATCAATAAGGTAGACTTATATTTCTTGTGGTGTCTGTTTCCTGACAAGGGTCTACCCTGAAAGGCTAGCAGTATACCAGTTTAGGAAACTTCCTTCCTCAACTGTCTCCATATTTTAGAAACCTTTAACATAGCGATTGATTTCTTACCTGCCCATAACTGCTGCCGCTACTAGTGTCTATGCCTCCCTGCAAATAAAATAACACCAATGTAAACAGAACTGGCAGAATTTAAGAGATTTGCATTTATAACAGGGTGTTCTTATTCATTAGTGTTTAATTTAAATCTCCACCTAAGTTAGGATCCTAGAGGTTTTTAGATGTTTCTGGACTACAATTCACACAATACTGATCTTTGGCTATGCTTGGTTATTGGGACCAAAGCGAGTGGAAGTCAATCTACAGTCAAGGAGCCCACAGCATTCCAATTTCTAAACCTTGAGGAAGAACTTTGAAAAATCCTTGGGAGAATTTGTTAGAATACCAAATAGAATGATGCTGAAAATGCAGCATCAAGTTTATGGCAGGATACTTCCCATCCAATATTTTTCACTCTTCACGACTGGATCTGGACCTGACTGATCTTATGATGACATTTTGGGTAGGGGCAGTTGGTTCATTTCTGACTGTGCTCTTATTCATTAGAAATTGCAGCATATTTGGGTTTTTGTTTAAAAAAAAAATCAGTTCCACACAGTTGAATGGCCCATTGGCCCATTTCCCAACTCTTATTTTGCTTTCTGGCTTCTGGACCCAGAAGTTTGCAGTACTTTTCTCAAGTCTGCATATATTACAAGAGAGGAAAATGGGTGCCCAGGGTTACTAGCAACTTTTGTTTTCTTTTGAGAATGTAGGTGAGGTGATTTCTGTTACTCCAGGACCAGCCTCCAGTTGGAGGGGAGAATGCAGGATAGTGGGTGCTATTGGTCAACCGGAAAAGGGGAGTGAGCATTGATTGGCTCCTGACATTCTGTGTATTTTAAGATTTGCAGAAATAAAGATTATTTTGGATTTTACTTCAAATTTCTTTATGGAAGTTTAGGGAAAGGAAATATTGGTGTGGATGTGCTCATAGTTTGTATGTGTGTATGTTTAGTTTTATGGATTTTATATGTATTAGTTGCAACACAAATCGTTAAACATATGTGTCACTTTAAAAATTAATTTATCACAGTACATTCGGAAGGGGATTCCATTTAGTGGGACTCATTTTCAGAAAAATAAGAGGAGAATTATATTTTGAATATACTGAAAAACACAGGACTATTAAACAGAATAAATGCCACCAACAGCACCATTCAAACAACAGAAGAAGACTTACATCACCACAACCATATTTGTTGTAGACACTTGCAGTTCCACCCTGTATGAAAAATAGAGAATTAAATGAAGACACTTTACAAAATAGGAATATTTTGCATCGGGGATGAAGCTTTCATTCTTTTCATATACTGTAATGCTTTTGCTATGAAAATACCTGCTTTATTCTCAAAATAAAGACAACATTTAAGAATGTTGCCTATATTTTCAAACAGTCTTCTGTTTGCCACAATTTCTGTGGTCCTTTTTGAAGGGTTTATTTTTTAAAGGAGCAAACAAACAAAAAAGCCACTAGATCTTGATTGCTAGGACTGGAAGCCATCTTTCTGAAAGCATCATTTGTGGAAATTGTTTGAAATAGGGAATTTCTGGAAACACACTTTCCAAAATTGTTACTATTCTTGGAAGTCTAAACAAGATACATTCCAAACTCTATCACATCTGTAAGTCAAAAGCAGCATCCTCCATTACACTAAGAAGATAGAGAACTGGAAGCCTGTGTAATACAATGGCACTGCTGAAGTTATAACAATAACAATAGCACTTAGACTTATATATTGCCCCACAGTGCTTCACATCACTTTTTGGATGGTTTACAACAGGGGTGTCAATCTCAAGGCCCGCGGGCCAGATCTAGCCCACGGGGTGCTTAGATCTGGCCTGTGGGACTGGCCTGGAAATATCAAAGGACCAGCCTGTAGTACCTCTGCTGGCCAAAAGGGGGAGGGGGGCACATGCACCCCCTGTGGCCCATTTTTAGGCAGCAGAGTGCTGCAGGAGGCCGTGGAGGCTGAAAATGGGCTATGAGGGGCCATGCGTGCTCCCCGCGCCCTGTTTTGCCTGGCTAAGTGCTGCAAGAGGCCATCTAGGCTGAAAATGGGCCCTGTGGGCCCTGTGCCCTGTTTTGGCCAGCAGGGTGCTGCAGGAGGCATCTGTCCCATCTACCACCCCCAGCCCGTGGATGAGAACTACAACACTGATCCGGCCTCTGAAGAAATCCAGTTTGATACCCCTGGTTTACAATGTCAGTTTATTGCCCTCAACATTCTGGGTCCTCATTTTACTGATCTCAGAAGGATGAAAGCCTGACTCAACCTTGAGTCCTTCAGGATCAAACTCTATAGTCTGTGGACAGAGTTAGCCTGAAGTACTGCATTCTAACCACTACACCACTAGGTCTCTTTGTTATGCTTTCCAAAGACTCTTGCCAGTTTTTATAAGAGAGCATCACTTAAATAGATGCACCAAAACTTCAATATTATTATCTGGTTTTAATTACAGCTATTTGAAGGCAAAGATCTAAATCATGGACAGGCAGATTTTGTTGTTCCTGTTATTATTTTGAAGTCATGCGGTATCCTTATTTAGTTCATGTATTTCTTTTTTCCCAGGATCTCAAGGGAAATCCCATTGTCTATTTTTTTTTCAAAACAACAACAATCTACATTGGGCTGAGGGAATGAATGATTGGCCCAAAGTCATCTGTTGAGCTTTCTTGATTGAAGGTGGATTAAAATCTTGGCCTTCCTGTTACTAATCTAATAATTTAACCACTATTCCACAGTGGAAATGATGTCACCAGAACAGGTAAAGCTAGAAAATATTCATCTTTTTCTTCATTTCTTGGGAGTTGGGAGAATGTATAGGACTTATGTGGGGTGGAGAATCACTTTAAAATGTGTGACATGGCAATATAATCTTGGTGGGATTCAGGATCATTAAAAAAGGTGGCCAAGCAGTTTTATGAAGGTTATGAGCTATGGGTGTCCCATCTCTGACCTATATGGAAATGGGAGAACTGTATACTTACACCAAGGCATCCAACCTTTCTGATGCTTCCTCCTTGGTAGATTAAGCCTCCCTAGAAGAAAGCAGGAATAGGTTATTCCTTTGCCAATGGTTTCACTTACTATGTCAAAAGAAACTACAAAGTAATAGCAGAGTTTTACTATTGTTCATCTACTCAAAAGAAAAAAGGCTTCATTGAGAATAATTATTGGTGTCCTTGGCAACAAGATATATAATTTGGAAAAAAACCAAAAGTTACTGATTTTGGTGCAGAAAGGGAATGAAACTAAATTATTGCTTGGGTTGATTTATTTGCTTTGCAGGCAAGGAAAAACCAGGAAGAAGATACAGTTTCTCCTATTTTCCAAAATCTAAAATTAGGGATTCACAAGTGGGGGATTCTAATGATCATAGGAGCCTTGTAGTTCAAATGCCAAAGGGATTGCATTGCATGTTGGAAATATGATAGTAGAAGAGATTCATGGTAAACATGGTTTCCATATCAGTGAGAGACAGACAAACAGATCATGGAGGGGATCTATCAATCTGTTGGGTACACAAGCATTTTACTGACTGAACCATATGCAGAGACAACTTAATCATATGCAAAAGACACCTTTTTCAGGTGAATCTATTGAACACACTGGCTTAATGTTCTTTCTTGTAAAACAGTTATGCTGATTTAGCACTGTCTCTATAATTCTCTCTCCATTAGTCATCCAAAGCCAATTTTCTTCAGGTTTGGATCCAAGCAGTTAAAATTCAGATCTCTACAAAGAATTCTGCTTGGTATCTTTTGCCAATGTTATATTGAGTATTAACTGTATACTCTCAATCCATCTATAGAGATTATACATTTTTTAAAAAATATATCTTTGTCTTAAATTAAACAACTTATTTATCTTTTAGAAGAGATCATTGGTAATTTTATAAATAGTTCTTTGTCAGACAACTCCAGAAGGAAACATGGGGGGGGCGGGGGGCGGAGAGAGAGAGAGAGAGAGAGAGAGAGAGAGAGAATGAGGGAGACAGAGAGAAAAGAACTATTCTACACTGACCTATGTTAGATTTAGTCTGTTCCATCCAATATTGTAGAACAGAAAGAAATAACATTGTGGCTTAAGAAACACTTTTTCTTGATATATATTTTTTTAGTAGAAGAATGTGGAAAAATAAGAGTAACTAATGTAAAACAATGTAATCTCTCCTTAACAAACCCAAGGATGGCTCTGCATAAATCTGTACAATTTGTACAATTAAAAGATTGTCGAGAAATGTGATACCAGTTACGGCAATTACTGCATTCTTCTCAACAATGTCTCTAATACTAGGTCTTTACCTAGTCCATGGGTCGGCAACCTTAAATACTCGAAGAGCCACAAAGGTCCTAACCGGAACCGCCTCCCCCATTCAATTCCGGAGCCAAATGGAATTCCAGGTCCCCCACCATAGAATCTCCTCCTAGTGTGGCATTTTTTTTCCTCTACCTGTCCTAACCGGAATTCCTATCAATTGTGGAGCTGACTGGAAAAATTGCCTTTGCCATAGAGTCTGCTCCTGGCATGCTGTGCTTTTCCCCCTCCAACCGGAAGCTCCTCTCAAAATTGTGGTGCCGACCAGCGGTAGGGAGCCACAGCAGAGGGATGAAAGAGCCACATGAGGCTCCAGAGCCACAGGTTGCCAATCCCTGACCTAGTCCTAAACATAACTAACATTGAGGAGGAGGGGGGAGGAAATTCTTACCTGTGATTGACTGCTACTACTCTGTGAGGAAGATGTGGAACCCTGCAAAAAACCACATTAGTAATTTATTCATAGAAAATGTAGATACTGATAATAGCATAATCAATATTTCCACATCCTATCCTTTCTTGTGAAAGTCAAACAATATTCAAGATGTGTAAGCTCCCGTATATGCTCTTTTTCATTTTCATATAGCTTACTCATCTTGAATATTGTTTCATTTGAAAATCAGAAAATGAGGCCCAAAGAAGGGCCCTCACTATTTTTTTTCTTGTTATCTACTGTAGTAGCTTACAATCCCCTCAAAAAAATGTTTGTACGTCAAATGATGCAGAGAATTATATAGTTTAGCTTTTCTGACTTGACATCTACTAATTGTTCTGAACTTTGGGAATTGCCTGCCAATCAAAGCAAACCTAATCTAACTGGGAACCATAAACTTTCCAAATATGACTGGTGGGCAAATGGAAAAATATGGTGGCCTAGTTGCGTTCTTCACCAAAGTTCTTCTTATGTTCTTGAAAAATTGAATAAATTACCATGTGAAAATACACCAAGGCTTGGGGTAAGACATATTGAAGGAATAATAATGCTTACCTGGACACATTCACTGCCACTTCCATAAGAACCACCCTAAAGTTATAAAATACTATTAAAATTCTAGATAATTTCATCAACATAATGCAACTTCAGGTTCAATACAGTATCAAGAGAGCATAAATGAGCAATTGCTTTGAAAATAATAACCTGATTTCTCATTAAAGCAGCTCAAAGTATTTGAAAATGCAAATCAAGTCTAAATACAGTAATATTTTTCTTTCCTATCACCCATCTTTTTTCCCTGATGTTCTTTTGTGAATTAGAGGATTGCACACTGAACCAAAGAGTGTCATAGGCATTTTATAATAGTTTGCAAAGAAGCAAAGAAACAGGAAATGGGATTCATCTGTATGTTGCCCCACCCCTTATGTCTGTTTAGGAATCTTGCTTCTCTTGTGCCATGCTTTAAAAATGCAATATGGTAATATATTTAGCAGAAGAGAGGTAAGCTGTTACATAAATAAATTAGGAGTACCTTGACATGCAATATGTGCACTGCTTCTAGGAATTGACCCTGCACCTAATGGGATCCATTGCCACTTCCAGTTTGGCAGCCAAATCTATTCATTTTTGCTTGAACTGTGATTCACTAGGAGTCATAATGAAGATAATTTCCAATGGAAATATTGGTGCTCTATAGATTTTTTTGATGGATTATTTCCCCTGGCAATAATTTATGTCAACTTGCTTTACAGTGGGTTCCCAATTCTCTCTCTTTCTGTAGAGATTAGTTGCAAAAAAATATTTTATAGATGAAGCAGAGAGATAGCCTGCTGGTGATGTGGCAGTCCATCTCTTTGCAAATGTATAGAATTTTTGCAAACACAATAGGATGCAGGAAAGACATTAACTGGATGCTGTTTTTTTGCAAAATTCCACTGGTCAGCTGGAGAATGCACCCTTCCCCTCTTATAATATGTTCTGTATGCTGATGCTGATGGGAAGAGGATAAACACAAATCTCCTTGAGCCTGATTGAAAACAATGATGTTAAAGAGACTGTGGTATGGTAAAATGTAAACTGGTTTCCCAGGAGGGAGGGGCTGCATTCTGGAGGACAAAGAGGCTACAAAAGTTTGGTTGGCAGGAAGAGGGTTAAAATGGTTCCTCTCTTGCAATTGCCAGAATGTATCTATAGTAATGCATATAATTGCTTTAGTCAGGCAAGATTCTGTCTGAAGGTGAAGAACAATAAAGGAAATTACTCAGAAGTAGCTCTACATTACTTCTTAGATCTTAGGGCCTGACTCCTATGAGCTCAGATTTAAATGTATTTACCATACAAATCAAGTATTCAATGAATAAGGGCAATTGTATTGGAAATTGTCCAAGAATTCTTACCTGGCCACAGTTTACTCTTACAATAATGTTAGAAGACTGTAAAGACAAAATTAAAAACAAAAAAACATTTTAATTAAAAAGCTTATGCCAAATTTTTATATGGTGTTTTATCATTTCTTGATTTTTAGTACACTTTCTTGATTTTTAGCATTTGACTACCGTGTTTCCCTGAAAATAAGACACTTCCCCCGAAAACAAGCCCTAGCCTGATTTTTTGGGGTGAGCCTAATATAAACCCTACCCAAAAATAAGCCTGGGGGATGGGGATGGCCCTCCGACCCCTTGGCACAACGCAGATACCTGTAAGTCCGAGCACGGAGGCAGAGGTGATGGAGAGGCAGGTGATCCGCATGTGCTGCATGGCTCCTGGCTCACGGGAAGCTTGCAGGAGCCTTGTGTGGCACCAGCAGGTGCAGGCAAAGGTATGGGGGATGGGGGAGGCAGGTAATCCCGACGCCCCGCACAGCTGCCTGCCCAGTGCAGCCACGGGCAAGCCGCGAGACAGTGGGATGGAGTGGGTAGCATGTTGGGATAACCTGCCTCCCCCCCATGCAGTTTTCACCCAGAGGGAGAGGACACTTCACCTGCTTGCAAATGGTATGCTCCATTTCAGTGTCCCATTTGCAAGCAGATAAAGCTTCGAATCTCCCTCATTTCTCCATCCAGGTGAAAAGTATTTGGGTTTTGGGCACCTATGGGTCGCTTTGGAACGGAAGGTTTTGCCTGGCTGCGTTGCTCGGCCTCCTGTTATACATATTAAGTCGGAGTTATTTCTACAAACCTTTTTCCTACTTCTTGATGATGCACTGGTTTCTTTGGCCACATCAGCCACTTTGCCATCATTTCCTGCTACATTGGAATCTCTAGGGAAGAGGATTTTGTTGGATATAACAACCCAGTATCTTTCCGGATCTTGAAAAACAGTTGCTCTGCAAAGATAACATAATTTCACTAGATCATATTTGGATTATGGTGAATTTCTGAATTATATTTTGTACATTTTTTTAGAATCAACATATCATACAATATCAAGTAAGCCATATAATAATTGAGAGCCAGTTTGGTCTAATGGTTAAGTCAGCATGCTAGAAACTGGGAGACTTTGAGTTCTAATCCTGATTTAGGCATGAAAGTAGGCTGGGTGGCTTTGGACCAGTTACTCTCTCTCAGCACAATTCACCTCACGGGATGTTGTTGGGGAAAATGGAAGGGTGTTTAGATATGTCCATTGCCTTGAGTTTTTAATAAAAATAATAAAGGCAGGTAATAACCAAACAAACAAAAAATAAATAAATGCCACAATATCTTAAATTCTATTCCTTCTATCTTTCTAAAGTTATTTATTTTATTTATTTAGTTATTTCCTTATCTTAAAATTATTTCAGAATACTAATATTATTTTATAACAAATTATTCCAGAAAACCCTTCTTTATTTGATAATTTTTGAAGGCTGTTATTTCTGATAATCAAGATTTCCTCATATGATGTCTCTGATGGTATTGTTTTCTTTTAAATGGCCGAGAGCATTTATATATTTATATCCTCCACAAAATACATTCTTCCTTTAACATTTCATTTCATCATGTAGCAATCAAGGGGCTCGGTGCAAATTAATTGTAATGAAAGATGACATCTATGTATTTTTGCTCTGTTTACCTTTTTTACAATACCACATTAAATAGGTAAATAGGTGGCAAGCAATTTGTGAATAGACAAGCCTCAGTTGGCAGCTCTTTTTTTGTTAACTAAACCGAATTCCAAATTCCAAATATGTTCCAGTTAAAAATGACTGACTACCTCTGACATATGTAATAAATAATCTCACCAGGGACATCTGCAAAGGAAAATCAAAAAGGAAAGATGGCAGCCAAAATTGCATGACTGTGGCCACCATTTTGGTTTATTTGATACACACAGTCATCCAAACACACACACACAAATGCTGTATGCTATTAAGACTATGTATATGCTTGGCTATAATTATAAACATAATTAGACAATGATTATGTTTGTGTCTATGTCTGTGCCTGTGTAGGTGTGTGTAGGCATGTGCACATATGTCTCTACACACCAACACACATACAAAGTATGTAAATGCTGACACACACTCCTTACAGAACAGAAATTCTACATTGATATAGAGTTTCCTTATACGGTATGTACTTACACAAACTGAACTTTCTTAGCCTCTGGTGAAATCCAGACAGATGTAACATTATATTTCTCATCAGAGCTCTTGTGGATTAAAGTTGAATTCTAAAAAAAATAGAGATGAATCTGATGTATTATTTAGATTAGCGCTTCAGAAATGGGTAGGACACAGATATACTGGATTACTAATATCATATGCAGTCAGTATCCCAATTGCTACATTCGCTGGGGATAAGGGACCTTTAATCCAACATGCATATAGAGTTATTGCAACTTGGTTTGCTCTTCTAAATTCAAGGCATGCATGGAGACAGATGCTCTGAAGATAATATAGGAAAAAGTGGCCTTCAAGAAGTGTTTACATCCCAGCATTGTGACTCATAGTTTTCTGCCTCATTAGCTTTTGTGAAAAAAATTCATGTTCTGTTTTCTATATATTCTTCTGTCTTTTAACAAAATAGGCTTATTTCCTCAGTCAGAAATGTCTAGGCTTATTTCTTAAAGTAAAAAATCTTCATGCAGAACCTATAAGTTACATTGCTGTTCATTATAGGGTACATTCCAGATTCATGTGAGCTGTTGGCCTTCTCTTGTCAGAAGGAGCCCAGTGACTTGACTTCTTGAGATATGGAAACTGGTAACTTTTGAATGCTCCATTTGTGTCATTCAGCAACACTTCTATCTCATAGAGCAGGGGTCCTCAACCACCGGGCCGCGGACCGGTCCCGGTTCGTGGAGCACTCTGTACCGGGCCGCAAAGAATTTTTTTTTTTAAATGGCGGCTTTCTTCGCCTTCGGTGAATGCTGCTGGGATCGGGGATCAAGGACACAAATGAGAGAAGGGGAGGGACGAAGCAACCAAAGCCTGTCCTGCTCTCTGGCTCAGCGGCTTCGGTTTCCTCCCGCCTCAATCCACAGTGCTCCGTTCTGCCTGCCTGCCTTCTTCGTTTCTGGTGAGAATAATAACTATTCGCCTCTTTTTATCAGCCGAACCTGCTCCGAAACGAAGAACGCAGGCAGACAGGCAGAACGGAGCACTGTGGATTGAACCGCGCGCGGGCGGGTGGGGTGGGAGTGAACGGGCGCTTCGGAGGAGCTGCGGCGACAGGAAAAGCCACCCCCCCGGCTTCTTTGAAGCAGTTTCTTCCTGGGCTGGTGGAGCAGCGAGAGAGCGACTGAGAGAGGAACGAGGCAGACACCTGAGGGAGGGAGGGAGACACCTGAGGGAGGGAGGGAGACACCTGAGGGATGGGGCTGAGGGAGGCAGGGCCGAGGCGCTCCCTGAACTTGGTGGTTTGCTGGCAGACGTTTTATTACCCGACTAGGTAACAACATCAGATGTTACCTAGTCAGGTAATGAAACGTCTGCAAGCAAACCACCAAACTCGGATTCTCCCCCCCCCCCCCGGTCCTTGAAAAAGTGTTTGTGCTTGAAACTGGTCCCTGGTACAAAAAAGGTTGGGGACCACTGTCATAGAGAATTCTGGGAGCCTTCCCCACGTATTAACTCTTGACAGAAACCCTGTGCTTGGAGACTAATGACTAGAGTCGGAGGTGGTAAAATAGACAATCAATTCTCTCATTACAATTTTTTTTAACATACACAAGCAATACACATTCTGATTTGCTTTTAACGTAGCAACACTGAGTCTGTCACATACAGAATTCCTGAGAATTCTACAAAATTATCCCCATGACTGAAGTTAGTATGTAGTGTAAGAGAAAACTGGAGAAGAGGATAGGAAAGCCCTTTCTGAATTTCCCCGAGTCAAGAAGATGCCATTAATCTTTAAAGATCTATACTAATGTGTAGAGATTGTATCCCATCATTCAATGCTGCTGAATCACACACATTTATCACAGAAGGAACCAATACTTTTAATCATATCACACAGACAAACAGAAGGAATAAAGACATACCAGCAAATTGTAACAGTCATGGTTCTGTGTATTGGGGTCTACAGTTACAAATGAACCAATGGGAACATTTTTTTCAATGTCTCGAGCTTGTAGCATGAACCATTTGAATCCAGCACCTGATATTCCTTCCAGATCCACTAAATGAGAAAAATATTATGCGTTATATTCTAGTAGTGCTAAAAAGATAATACATTCCCTTAAAGTTTCGATAACTTTATCTCAAGTTGCTATATTTGCATTAACGTGTTTATTATTTAGTTGTGGCTGTTAATGATACTTCTTTTAAATATTAAATATAGGAGTGTGATGTTTGTTTTATGACTTGGAAGTTAGGGAGACAGGCGCAACTGATCTACCTGCTGGAGCTTCATTCACAAATAAAGGTTCATAACTATGGTTATACAGCAATACTGTGATGTAAGGAAGGGCGAGTCATTTAAATCTTAGGAGAGCCATTTTGTGCTCTCCAATTACAACAGTTTTGTTTGGTGGTTAAGACACCAGACTAGAAACTGAGACCTTGAATTCTAGTCCTGCCTTAGGCACATTATCTCAGCCCTAGGAAGCAGGCGTTGGCAAACCACTTTTGAAACCTTACCAAGAAAACTGCAGGCAGTTGCCAGGAGACAAGATTGACCTTGAAGTCACTCCCCCACTCCCACCCCAATTACAACAGTAGCAGAACAGAGCCATCTAACAAAGGGGTGAAACCAGATTAGCCTTTTGTTTTCAGAAAACACTGGCGTCTAGGAAAGGATGGAGGAAGTGAGTAGGAAGGCCATTTTTGATATCTACCATTCTTCTGGAAATATGGTAATCCAAAGGGCTTCCCCAAACCTTCTAGAGCTACTTTTGCAAGGCCTATCAGGCTGCAGGGTAAGACAATGCTTGTAAATGCTCTTCTTTACTCAACTCTTGTTAAATGCTAGGTGTTTTGTATTTTTTATCAGATTGATCTAATCAAATGTCATGTTAACATATTCTATCCCCCCTCCCCCAAGAAAAAGGCTGGGAAAAAAGAATGAAAAGATGCAGAAATCAAGAAACAAAACATATGGAAAGTACCTTCAACTTCACTTCCTGGGTTATATTCCTCGGCTGATACCAAAAGGTGGTAGGGTGATGCAGATTCCTCTGGTTTAGTTAGGTTTGTTGACATAGTTTCACAGTCTATTGAAAAATTTGTGGATTGAAGGCCGATGACTCCAGAGATTAAGACTCCGCTCCATAGAAGCGCAAACAAATGGAATCTCTCCATCTTAAAAAAAAAAAAAACAGAGGACATCACAATAGATGAACAGTACTGAGAGATGAAACCATTTATATTTTTATTTATTTATTTATTTATCTGATTTGTCAATCTTTTACAAGGTAATAGGTATAAGTATAAACATGAGTAAGAAATAGCTACGAATAAATACAGGAAATAGCTATGAATAAATGGGGACAATAGGACAAGGACGGTAGGCATGATGGTGCACTTATGCACGCCCCTTACAGACCTCTTAGGAATGGGGTGAGGTCAATAGTGGTTAGTTTGAGGTTAAAGGAGTAGGGGTTAGAGGATGTAACAACAGAGCCAGGTAGTGCATTCCAGGCATTGACATTGATATCATAGGAAGTAACAATGATGGCTGGCCCAGAGAATGAGATTATGCTAATATGATTGTGGGTGTGTAGATGAGGATGTGTCTTACCAGTGGCAGCCCTTCAGTACATATTTGGTTGAAAAACTATACAGGATAATTGTTAGAATTTGTTTTTTATTTATTTGATTTGTATCCCGCCTTTATTATTTTTACAAATAACTCAAGGCTACGCATATATCCAACACACCTTCCTCCTCCTATTTTCCCCACAATACCAGCCCTGTGAGGTGGGTTGGGCTGAGAGAGAATGACTAGCCCAAAGTCACCCAATTGGCTTTCATGCCTAAAGAAGGACTTGAACTCACAACTTTCTGCTGCTAGTTCTGGTGCCTTAGCCACTAATCCAAACTGGCTCTCAAAACTACAGGGGTATACCAGGGTGATAGGCTGTTCTATGAGGCTAAAATATATTCTGGGAAATGTCAGTGGCAAATCATTTCTGCACTGTTGCCAAGAAAATTATATTGATGGATCCAAACAGTCATCAGGAATCAAACTTCACTTGGAAATTTTCATACATGCAAATTCACAGAGGCTGTAATAAAATGTTCAAGAGTCAAGTGAAAGATTCTTAGTAGACTTAGATCATAGAATAACAGAGTCGGGAAGGGACCTTGGAGGACATCTAGTCCAACCCCCTGCTCGAGCAGGAGCGTCTATTCCAAATATTAGCCTCTATCTAGGATCGAATTCACAGCCTCCTGATTGTGAGACAAGAGTTCCACCCCTAGGTCACTAGCTAACAGAGATGAAGTTTAAATCAATATATTTTAAAAACTTTCCAAATACTGATATCAAACAGTTCTTCAAATTACAGTACAATAATTTTCACCACTGCCTGACTCCCCAGCCCTTCTCCTTCTGAAGAGTGTCTCAAACTTTCTCTGCATGCATTAGATATACAGTAGCACCTGTGCTACAGGTTGGCACCCACATAATGGTGTCAACAACAAAAAATCTACTTCTGCATCTTTTTCAGTTAGCTCATTAATAGGTAGCAATCTCTGTCATTTGCCCATCTGAATTGGCTTGATTTAAGAAGGCGTCTTTTCATTTGTTTTTCTTAAAATCTGCCTAGAATGTGAATGAGAATAAATGGGATTGACAGCTGATTTCTCATCCATTTTCTCACCTGTGTTCAAAATATTGTTGAGTGGCACAAAGCCTTAGTAAGACCACACCTGGAATACTGCATCCAGTTTTGGTCACCACATTACAAAAAAAGATGTTGATACTTTGGAAAAAGTGCAAAGAAGAGCAACTAAGATGGTTAAAGGTCTGGAGACTAAAACATATGAAGAACCGTTGCAGGATTTGGGTTTGGCTAGGCTAGAGAAAAGAAGGACTAGGGGTTCCATGATAGCAGTATTCCAGTATTTTAGGGGCTGCCACAAAGAAGAGGGGGTCAACTTATTTTCCAAAGCACAAGAAACAATGGATGGAAACTAATCAAGGAGAGAAGCAATCTGGAATTAAGGAGAAACTTCATAACAGTGAGGACAATTAACCAGTGGAATGGCTTGCCTTCAGAAGTTGTGGGTGCTTCATCATTGGAGGTTTTAAAGAAGACTGGACAGTCACTTGTCTGAAATGGTGTAGATTCTCCTGTTTGAACAGGGGGCTGGACTAGAAGACCTCCAAGGTCCCTTCCAGCTGCATTTTGATTGGTTGATTGAATGTCAGGGCCTTGGCACACTTTCTAATTGTATTTGTAAACGTGACATTAAATCCATTGGATTAACTCTAATGCTGAAGAAAAAAGATTCTTACTTATGTGATGGGTTTTTTTTCTGCCTACTTTTCTGCTAATTCTTGAACCTTCCAAATCTAAAGTATACTGCCATAAAAGCTGCATGAAAAGAGAGAATGGCTTCCTCCTTAGTTCTGCTACAAAGTGTTTGAAATACTGAATATGATCTATTGACTCAATGGCACACACCCATCTTCAGGTGTAGATAGATCCGAATTGGTCCTTTTCTCAATGGAAATGCTCCTTCCATGAATAGAATTCAGTCACATACAACACGGATTCCTTGCTAGAGATTGGTGTAGAAGACATTCCCTGGATTGGTGTAGAAGACATTCCCTGTCTCTTCCCTGCATTCTTAAAAAAATGGCTGTATTTTATAAATAACTCAAGATAGCAAACATACTGAATACTCCTTCCCCCTCCTACTGTATTTTCCCCATAACAACAACCCTGTGAGGTGGGTTGGGCTGAGAGAGAATGGCTGGCCCAAAGTCACCCAGCTGGCTTTCATGGCTAAGGCAAGACTAGAACTCAGTTTCCCAGTTTCTGGCCTTAACCATTAGACCAACTGACTTTTAAACTTAAAATATTATTAAGAAGAGACAGATAAAATTGACATAACATCTTTGAAAGGAAATATTAGTACTCTATCAAATCTTCATTTAAGATGTTTTGGTTCATAGAAAAAAAAAGTGAGGGACGCTTGAGTTTTGTAAGAAAATATAGTGTATAGAGAAATGACTGCAGTAGAAGACAAGCTGTATAAGGCAGAAATCAGAGAAGAAAAAGTGTCCTAGTTCTCATGCAATCTAAATGATGATATTTATAATGTCTTAGCTTTCATTAAAGAATTTGGCCTTTTTCTTATTTCTACAAAAGTAAGAAAACTTTTTGTTATTGTCAACATTTTAAATACTGCTTCAGTACTAGGTATTTTTTCAAAAGTTCCTATGAAAATATCAATACCATTTTAGAGCATTTGCTTAACATGTTGTTGCGCTCAGTAGATATTCATCTTTCTCCATAATATTTCTACATTTCTCTTCAATGAGGTCTGTCAATACATCAGAGTCACTATGTGCATGGTAGACAGTCTATTCTACTAGTACACTTTCAATAGTGAGACATTTTGTGAAGTGGAATGAGAGGAATGCATATACCAGAGGTGGTATTCAGCAGATTCTGACCAATTCTGGAGAACTGATAGCAGAAATTTTGAGCAGTTCGAAATATCAGCAAATACCACCTCTGATTGGAGATTTTACAGTATCCTTCCCCTACCATGCCCACCAAGCCACGCCCACAGAACCGGTAGTAAACAATTTTTTGAATCCCATCACTGGCATGTACAGTTGGTTTCTATGAAATTAGAATTTTTGCTGCCTTGATTTTAGCAATCCTGTGAAACTCTCTTCACACGTGAAATTTAATGGGTAATTTACTGTGACTTTCCTAGCCACCTCCCTTTGAATCATTTATGCAGCCACATTTTTCTCAGACTCACAGAAACTGCTTCCCTGCTATCTCTTCAAGTATGCATAGACACATAAAGTCAGGAACAATTTGTACAGACTTGGAAAAAAGGCACAATGCTTTATTAATTTGAAGAAAGATGTTCCATATGTGCTCACCCATGTTGCAAATCTTTTTCTAATGCTTCACATAGCCCTGATAATTTCTGAAGTGTATAAATATAAGTTATTTCTGGTTTGGCACTTATTAATAATAAGAAATTTCTGAAATGGGCCCTTTTCTATCTAGTGGAGCTATTTGGTTATTCTAGTTAGATTTATTAGTATTCTAACATACAGTCCATCCAACAAGGAACAACAATAACACACCTCAAAAGCATCCAAGGTACATACAAAAGTAATACATCCTGATAAAGTCTAACAGCCATTACCAAAACAATCAACTGATTATCCCAACTTCACAAAAAACACAAGCAAAACATAGAATCAAAAAAGTGTAAGAACAATCCATGAGTTTTGCCATCTTAGATTGCCTATAATAGAGGGCTTTTTCATTTGAAAGTGGAATACTCACTGGAATGCTTGGGCTGTAATCTTAATTTTTTTTGCTATTAAATATTACTAATCAGAGCCTGATAATAGAGTGCACCTTAAAATCTTGAAGATCAACCAACAGACTGCACCATGAATACACAACAATCTTTTCCATGAGTTGTGCATTCCACAGGGTCTTATCAGTGGTCTTATCAGTTGTTTTCTGGAATAAATTTACACTGAAAAAAGAAATCTTGTTTGTGAGCCAATCAACAGAAAACAAAGAGATCTGCATTGGAATTAACAAACCAATCAATCAATGTGAAATTGGACTCCATTTTTGCTTAATGTATCTGTGACCATGAGAAACATATCATTTTCTTCACCCACCCACCCAGCATCACAACAGCTGAATAGAAGCACATGCTTATATGTGTAAGATCCAATCTCTGGCTACTCCAATAAAATATAGAAAAACTGCCCAATCAGGGTAAAAAATAATGATTAAACAGATCACTTGATTTATTTAGTTTCAGCTCAAATTCTCAACTTTCTATTTCAGATGCAAAGCCCTTAGCAAACAAGAATCAATGGGTTACTAAACATTTCCAGAAGAGATTCCAATACTGCATTTGAGGTGTGTGAACAGAAACCAAGGACACAATAAACTACAGTTAGTAATTAGATGCAGAGATTGTGAAAATTCTTGAGTAAGGAATTAAATTACACCATAGGTACAGCCCAGGAAGAGTTGCTTAGGCTCTGCAAATAGTACAGTCAATAAAAGGGAGTGAACAATCAGATGGTTGTAGAAACAATTGTTCCTATCAGGAGTGGGAAGGACAGAGATTGTTTCATCTGAGGTTGCCAGGAGAAATTGCACTCAGGTGGGAGTTTTTGCTTGTGTTTATTCAAGTATCAGTACAGTAGGTGTGGTTGCTCACTTTCCTGCAGAGATATTGACCTGGCCTGCCTCTAATTAAAATTTAAGTATAGCACGTGGGTGCTGATCTATTACAGACTGTGATAAACAATGGTTTAATATGAGCTTGTCTCTTGTTATTCAGATCTTTCTTTCTGACTCATAATAGAAGTACTGTAATATATTCCTCTCTTCTTTTCCAAAATGTAGCATGATAGCAAAGTGACTTGAGAAATAAGAGTTTAACAATTATTCTGCCCCTGAAAATGTTACTTTCTAGAGAGAAAAAGGGCTAAATAAAAACAATCCCACCCCACCCCCCAAAATAATCTTAATTATCTTCATCTTCATCACAATCATTCTAAGATGCTTTATATGTGCAAGTAAAATATATGTATTTTAACACATTATGAAAGGAAGGATATGGGCAGCTCTTATGTGGAATCATTTATTTGGAAATTATAATTAGCTCTCTGTTGAATATTCACATGGGAACCCATCTGACTGCCTAGGGTCTAGGCACTATATCTGAAAGAAGACTGTGGTACATCAGATTAGATAACATTACAATGCTGCATTGAATGCAAGAAAACAATAATATATTGTTCTACTTGACCTCCTCCTTTTAATGGGCATGACATGTCTAGACACTGCTTAAATATATAAAACCTAGCAAGTTGGCATGCCCGATTTTCTCAATAAAATCAGCACCACAACTTCAGGCTCTGGGTGTTGAATTCCATGCAAGAAGTGGCATCTGCAAATTTCTGCATAGATCTATGGGAATAACAACTATAGGAATGAGGGCATTAAGCAGGGAGACATTCAATGCAATTGTTCTTGCACATGTCGTGATGGACTGGTTTAAGGAAGCAGTAATTGTCTGATCTGGCTAGATGACCCAAAACAATGGAAGGAAAAGTCAATTAAGGAGAATGTCCATGGACAGAACTGTATGGAATCCTATACATAAGGTTGTTATAGTCTAAATCATAAACAGAACAATTATCTCTACAACACGTAGTTGTAGATATTCAGGATTCGAATATTGTACAACCCTGTACATTTATCAAAAGCAGAAGTGGTATTCAGCAGGTTCTGACCAGTTCTGGAGAACTGGTAGCAGAAATTTTGAGTAGTTCGGAAAACCGGCAAATACCACCTCTAACTGGAGATTTTACAGTATCCTTCCTCTGCCATGCCCACCAAGCCACACCCAAAGAACCGGTAGTAAAAAAAATTTGAATTCCACCACTCATCAAAAGGCCATCTGTACAAAGCTAATGAAGATGTTTGCCTTCAAAAGATTTTACAGTAAAAGATTATTGTGCCACCTTCAAGACTCATACTGATAAATCGTCAAAAGCTTACGTTTTCTGAGAACTCCAAAGGAGAGCTTCTTCTTGACCTTTTGTTACCACAGCCAATCTGTTTAAAAAAAATGCCTATAAGTTAAAGTTTTGCCATGTTTTTAATTGTTGAACTTTTTAACTCAGGGAAGTATATCATCACACACATATAGTTGTCCCAAACTGTAGCTCTATATTTAATTTACACGGTCATTCCTCTCTCTTGTTCATTAGCTTAGTTGTAGACAAGCACATACACATATAATTACAAACTGAAAAACATCTTTTTGTCTTTTTTTAAAGCAGCTGCTCCTGCTCCGTTTCCCTCATCTGCATACACTTTGATCAAACCACCTCACTGATGTCAGAAAATATATTGCAACTTATTATAAATATGGTGGTGGAAATTTTTGGAGAAACATGTCCCACATTTCTGGAAGTCACTAGATTGAGGATGGCTAAAAACAAGGAAGAATTTTGCTTCATTTAGATAACTGCAAGCAAAGAAAATTCAACAATCTGATTTATTTATTTTTAAAAAGTCTCTTTTGCACATGAAGGAGACTTGAATGGAACATTAACACTAATAAAAAATTATTGAAACATCCAATTGAAACTATCCAATATATTCTCCGCCCAGAATTATGTGACAGTGAGATTGGTGGCATATAAATTTAATAAATAAATATTCTTTCACCTTATATTACTCAAAATCTCTGCCTGTAGTATTAAGACTGCTAAACTAGCCACGTTTGCTAAAGTTATCTCTAATGGCTACCCCAAGTGGAAACTCTGAATTCTCATTTATTTGCTCATACAAAAGGAATTGTGAAAAAGTTCTTTCTTATATGAAAAGCTTCACATACTTGAAATTTAAAGATGGAAAGAATCTTAAAACATTACAATGCCTATGTAAATAAGAATGTATACAAAGTAGAATTTTTTGCTTAGAATTACACGTGATGCTTGCAAGCTACAGTATTTTTGAATTCTGAATTCATTTACAACTAAAGAATTGACAAATAAAAAATACGAGCTGCTCATACATAAATACTTTTCCCCGTAAACTCTTTAAATGGATGAGGCTGGGAACAGAATACAGGCATTAATTTTTAAACACTTGAGAGAGACAACAAATATGAATAGGAAGCATGCCATACATTTATCTTTCATTTTAGAACTACATATGTATCTTCTTGTCCTTACCTTTTCTATTATCAAACATCTATTCTAAACATACACCCACTTGTAATTTAGCCTGATCTTGTACAAAGCAAAGTAATTAATACATTAGTTCTTCCGGTGTAGGAGGCTCAGCTATGAATATTTGCACCTCTATGAACAAACTCCCCAAAAGTTTCAGAGAAGAGTCCATTTAAATATCACCATGATTTAACCCAAGTTTCCTCAGATTTTTTACATTGATCTGAATGCAGTGTTTAGGCCTCCAAAAATTATCCAATTCTCCGTTCAGTTTAAAATTTTCTGATCCCTTTGCAAACCTTCTGGAATAAAATCATTGCAGACATCCAACAAGCAACATGCCATTCTGGGAAACTAAAGTCAACCAATGAAACTGGCTCTCTTGCCACTCTCATCCCAATGATTCCACCAACACACCTTGTTTCTGGAATCCTGATCAGCAGGCAGCAAGCCTTGTGGTCAGTGTGCAGCCCTGGAGTGCCTGAGCCTCAGGAAAGGATGGCAAATAAAGCATCAAAGAAGTGTCAGGATCTACCAATCATAACCAGGGTGGAGAAAGGCAGCCAGCCAATCAGTGTTAGCAACTCCTGGAAAATTAGGCTGAAATATCCTTCATCCCTGTGTGGCAAGAGCCATGCAAATTGTTTATGAGTCATGCCTTTTTTCTGAAGTTAAACCTCTTGAATTGAAACTCATTAGATTAAAATGAATGAAACAAGGGATTTGTATTGCTTGTGGAAAGCAATACAAAACAAAGTATCTCAGATAGTTAACTATTGCATTGGGACATCATACAAATTCTTTCAGACCTGCATCCATTTTGCACTTGGATTTTATTTTTATTTTATTTTTTATTTTATATTATTTATTTTCAATTTATATGGCTATCCAACCTCATGAGTCTGGGCGGTTGAACACCAGTTAAAAACGTAACAGTAGCATACAGTAGATCAATGGCCCTCCTCACACTTTTGAGCACCAGGGACCAGTTCCATGGAGAAAGATTTTTCCACGGACGGAAGGGGCATGGTTTTGTGTGCTGGCTGCATACTATGGATGGGCTTCACTTGTTTGCGTGGACCAGTTTGCTGGCATGCCATGGACTGGTGCCAGTCCATGGACCGGGAATTGGGGACCCCTGCAGTAAGCCAAGATAAAAACCACAAGCAACCATCAGAATAATCTCATGGACTGTATCTTCTAATCCCCATACTTGGTGACATGGGAACCCTCCACAAAAGGTCAACAGGATTGGAACTATCCTAATCCCTGGCAGAGTGGGGGATGATGTTCAAAAGAATAGATAGACTTTCTTCTTGTGTCCTGCCAGCCTTTAAGAGAAAGGATTCGTAGCATGCCCCTCCTGCCAGATCTGATGGTGTTTTTGAGAGTTAATTTCTATTCCTCAGATTTTTTTAACCTCTTAATCTGAAGAAAAGACTTATAAACCATTTCATGAATCAGAATGCAAAGAGAAGAGAGGAGAAGGCCCAGAGCAGCTCACAAGTTATATTTAATGCAACGTAAAAATGTGGAAATGAGCTGGTAAGGTTTTTAGCCAATACACCCCAAAAAGGAATGTTTAAATGCTGTATTGTATTTTGCATCACTCCAAAACTCTGTAGCTTCTAATTGTTAGTTTAGCAATTTGTTATTTTACCTTTTTACAATTTATTTTAAACTTACATAAAAACCAAACTAAATAAAAAACTTACATAAAAAGGCCTCAGCAGTTAGGTTAAAAATAATCGATGTAATATCGCATGATAAAATAACCACAAAACAGTGTTTCAATTCTAAAATACTAAAATTATTTTTAAAATGCCCTCACCCCCCAAGAAAGACCTTTATCTATTGCCAAGACTAGAATATAATCCTGTTACAATTGCATGTTACTGATCCCAAAGAAAAGTTAGTTCCTAATCCACATTGATTTTATGCCATCAGATATGTGGTCAACTCTGAGTGACCACCTTAATTCCAATCCACACAGAGATAGCTAAATACAGGGGATCCATGGGGAATTAGATAGACTAATGGAAGCTGCATCCATAGTTCTCTATAGTCTTCCCCAACATCCATGGGAGCAGCAGTCCTCAGATTTAATGAGCTACGGAGGCCTTCATAAAAAGAGGGAAAGCCAATCTATTCCACATAATTTAGCAGAGATGGTGTGATATGATACTTTAGCCTACCCATAAGCTGTTTGGGAGATGTTACAGCTCAAGCAAATGTGATCACTTCTTGAGCACCTGAGCAGGTATATCAGGAATGAGAGTCAGATTCCTTGTTAATTTATTGTTTTGTGGGGTTTTGCTATAAAAAGAAATGGGAAGAAACATTTTTGGTACGTGTTTAATTTTAGGTACTACAGACATAATTATTTAGTTTTAATCAAAGCTATATAGATACTAATCTCAGTACAGGACTCTGAGCAGCTCACATACAGAATACGATTTTTTTAAATTAGCAAAACTGTGCAACAATTTAACACAAGAAAAACAACATAAAACCATGTAAAAAATCTATAAGAACAAAATTCACACAAGGGGTAGAAATGTCAAATATGGCTGTATGTCAAGCACGCAAATGTCTTGAATCTGCCCTTTATATTGTTAATACATAAAGGAATCAACTTCACACTGTCAGCAGAAGAGATTTGGTTGAATTCTGTATAATACTCAATATTTTTGAAATATATAACAGGTTGGAAGGGATCTTGGAGATCTTCTGATCCAAACCTCTGCTCAGGCAGGAAATGCCATATCAGACAAATGGTCGTCCAATCTCTTCTTCTTAAAAACCTCCAGGGTTAGAGCACCCACAACTTCTTAGGCAAGTCATTCCACTGATTAATTGTTCTTACTGTCAGGAAATTTCTCTTTCTATAATCCTTTGATTATATATCAAGATATCATCTTTTGACACGCTTCTTGTCAACTCATAAAATATTTCTATGGTCTTTTTAGAGTTGCCAACAGAAAGGGAGGGGAGAGCAGTGCGGGAAGCTTGCAAACCGAAAGTGCATTCCATAAATCGTTTTCAAAGATAGTAAAAGATAGTAACTAGGTGACTGAAGTTTCTGCCGCACAAAATTCTAATTGGAGAGCATGATTGATGACTCTTGGCTATGGATGTGTCCCACTGGAGAATATGAATTATGATACACCCAGGGGATGGGGGAAAACCAGGGTCAAGGGTGACAATGAATTATGTGTCTCAGAGTCGGCTGCACCCAGGCAGTGCCAGACATTTTAACTCCCAATAAATCCTTTTGAAGTTTTGGAAGTTTGGCTTGAGACTCATGATTTAAATGGGGGTAACTGCCGGAATCCTGACACGTCTGCAAATTGTGTCCCAGACCTTGTGAACTCTGACTGGTCAGAGATTGGAAATAGATGCTGCAGAAACACCCTTTTTCAGAAACAAACGAAAGGTGAAAATAGAATATCAATGCATTTATCACACCAATTCTCCCAAAAATGCAACCTGTGTTGCTAATACTAAATTCATTTTTCACTTAAAAAAAAAAATTAAAGCTAAAATACATTGCATTCAGACTTGGTACAAGAAAATTTGAAGTACCTTCCGTTTCAACACAAAAAGAATTTGACTGGACTAATCATATTTAGCTCAATTCTAAGAAAACAATTTAGGTATCTAAGAAGGATTTTAGAAGTAGATTGGAACAGCTGCCACTACTGCCCCAACATCCATCAACTACAGCAATTGTCTCATAGGTGGGACAGCCCTGCTGCAATTAAAAAAATTGACATCACTGCCTGCAGTAGATCATCTGCATCGTTGAGAGTATCATCATGTCATTAAGTGATCTATAAAGGTGTTGGAGCAGTGCATTCCTTTGTGTTTTGACATTATGAACAAGCTGGGAGAGGCTTAGGGCAGATAACTCTTCTGACTGTATCAGCAAATTTTAAATATTTGAGCCTCTTTTCCATCTCAGAGGAACTTATTATTAATTTTCATTATGCAGTTTATGGCAACGGCATCTTTTTTTGGCAACACTAGCTATTGTGTATATTGAAAACAATCAGATTATGGCTTTCTTGCTAGGACTTCCATTGGGCCATTTCATGTCTCTAAGAGTTTGAAGTGCTTTACTAGCATCAATAAGGATGATATAGTCTTTCAAGTGAGTGGATTAATATGCCTTGTTAATCCCAAATTTACATTTCAACACACGACTCAGCCCTGAAGCCAGGGCTAACCCATGATTAAGAAGTCTATCATATTCCTTCCTGTGTGTGAAAAAAAAGGGGGTTCCTCCCTAAAATGGTCCTTCTGTGGGGTCATTCAAAGGATCAAAGATGTTTCCCTCTTTCCTTTTCTTTACAAATGGCTACCTGTAGTTCATAGAGATACATTCCCAAGTTGAGCAGATATCAGGGGAACTGATGGGAAGAAGGAACTCTGGGATTTCTATGAGTTGGTTAGTTTGGGATCAATGAAACTGGGAGGTTTTCTAGGAGCTACTCAGTAATCTGGACAAGGGAGAGAGATGTAGCTCTGGATGTTAACAGTGACACCAATAGATAGTCTTTTCAGCATTTTTGGACGATTACATTCAGGGTTGTACAGAACGTGAAGATATTCATGCAAAAAGAGCCTATTTTAGCCAATAAATTGTGATTAAATATACAAATAGGCTAATTCTATTGTTTTCTTCCCTCCCCTATTCTTCCAGACGAAGCTATTTTTTTAAATTCAAGGAATGTATTTTAATGGTACTCTCTTTCCTTGCAGTTTGTTTGAATAAAATATCATAAGCCTTGTCCAAGACATTTATCTAATTTATCTAAATTTATCTACTTTATTTAAAGCTATTCCTTTTGAAATCACTAGAGAATTATGGCATTTTGTAGTGTTTGTGTATTTGCAAACATAGAGGCACAACAAAATATTGTATATCAGATGATCCAAGAAACACCATCCTTCTTTAAATCCTGTGAGCTTGTGAAGCTCGCATCTACTAGCTACTCATGTAAATATCTTAGCCCCATTCAAAATGAGGCATCTCTAACTTCAATGGAAGTTCTGTTATTTCTTTTCCTATATAGACACTTAGAACTCTATTAGACATAGTTTTATGCAGATGGTGAACAATAACTGCCCATCACAACAGGAAACAAATGGGACTTTATGTAATGGGAAATGCTTGGTGATGCTGCAGACTGACGGGCTGGGTGCTTGACTGCATTCTTGGACAATTGACCCAATATATTTCAGTCTGCAGGAGCAATAATAATACGGTTGAATCCGTCTGAATTGGAAGTAGTGACTTTAAGCTGCACTGAATTGAAGATTGAACGCTACTGAATGAGTAAGTAAGTAAGTCAGTAAGTACAGTAAGTAAGTAAGTACAAAGTAAATCTAAAATATATTCTGGGTGGGATTCTACCAGTTCGCACCTATTCACTAGAACCGATTGTTAACATTCTAAGCAGTTTGGAAAACCGGTTGTT